TTGTATTCCTTGTGACAAGACTTTCCCTTTGATACCAACAATTTAGACCCTTTGACCTTGACCTTGGAGTTTGACTTACATTTGAGAAACTTCAACCTTTGCCAAAAGCTGCCATAACAGTTGCTGTCACAACAAACAAACAAATTACTAAAAAAAAACACAGAATACATGTACATATTTTATATTCAACAGATATACATCTGGTCATATCTCTACTTCTCCCTTGAATGAGACATGGTGATATAAATTTTAAAAAATAATTATAAGAGTTGAAAAGGTTGTGCATATTGAAATATACTAAGCTCTGCGGATGAATTAGATATACCAGTTTAGCTTTATTTTGCTACCCAAAGCACCTTGATTAACTATTTATAAGCATACTGTTTTCTGAAATGTACGGATTTCTGTTGTCCATCTGTTTATCTGCAAACTTTTCATATTAACTTCTTAAGAACCACTGGGCTAATTTCAACCAATTTACATTTAAATATGCAGGGTACTTTTTAAGCGCCCGGATCGATAGATCCCGGGCGTATATTGTTTTTGTCCTGTCTGTTTGTCTGTTTGTCTGTTTATCTGTTTGTCTGTTTGTCAACTTTAACCTTGGCCATAACTTTTGAACAATAAGGGATAGAGACTTCATATTTGGTAAGCATACTCCACTAATAAAGTCCTTTCAAATGACTTCAAGGTCAATGACCTTGTGACCTTGACTAAGACTTATATGCTAAAAATAGCTTTTTCCACTGTTTGTCATAACTTTTGAACCATAGGAGATAGGGACTTCATATTTGGTATGCATACTCCACTAATAGAGTCCTTTCAAATGACATCAAGGTCAATGATCTTGTGACTTTGACTGTGACCTATATGCTAAAAATAGCTTTTTACACTTTTTGCCATAACTTTTGAACCATCAGAGATAAGGACTTCATATTTGGTATGCATACTCCACCGATTAAGTTCTTTCAAATGACACCATGGTCAATGACTTTGTGACCTTGACTGTGACCTATATTCTAAAAATAGCTTTTTCCACTGTTTGTCATAACTTTTGAACCATAGGAGATAGGGACTTCATATTTGGTATGCATACTCCACTAATAGAGTCCTTTCAAATGACATCAAGATCAATGATCTTGTGACTTTGACTGTGACCTATATGCTAAAAATAGCTTTTTACACTTTTTGCCATAACTTTTGAACCATCAGAGATAAGGACTTCATATTTGGTATGCATACTCCACCGATTAAGTTCTTTCAAATGACACCATGGTCAATGACTTTGTGACCTTGACTGTGACCTATATTCTAAAAATAGCTTTTTCCACTGTTTGTCATAACTTTTGAACCATAGGAGATAGGGACTTCATATTTGGTATGCATACTCCACTAATAGAGTCCTTTCAAATGACATCAAGGTCAATGATCTTGTGACTTTGACTGTGACCTATATGCTAAAAATAGCTTTTTACACTTTTTGCCATAACTTTTGAACCATCAGAGATAAGGACTTCATATTTGGTATGCATACTCCACCGATTAAGTTCTTTCAAATGACACCATGGTCAATGACTTTGTGACCTTGACTGTGACCTATATTCTAAAAATAGCTTTTTCCACTGTTTGTCATAACTTTTGAACCATAGGAGATAGGGACTTCATATTTGATATGCATACTCCACCGATAAAGTCCTTTCAAACGACGGCAAGGTCAATGATCTTGTGACCTTGACTGTGACGGATATGCTAAAAATAGCTCTTTACACTTTTTGCCACAACTTTTGAACCATAGGAGATAGGGACTTCATATTTAGTACGCATACTCCACTGATTAAGTTCTTTCGAATGACACCATGGTCAATGACCTTGTGACCTTGACTGTGATCAATATGCTAAAAGAAGATTTTTTTAACTTTGTTGCCGCCGGGCGCGTAGTGTTTCACAAACACATCTTGTTCCAACATAAATCTTCTTCTCAAGAACAGCAAGAGGCTCCCAACATGCTATGATTTTTTACCCCTTGACCTTGATGTTTTAACAAAATTTCAAAAGAGTGAACTCTCCCAAAAGATGATAAGACCACTGTTTAAAACAAAAAAGGAGTTTAGGGAAGACTGGGCTTTTTCCATAAAAAACGTCATTTTTCAACCCTCATTTGACCCCCCGGGCAAAATCAAAATTCCGAAACCTAACTGCACATCTACATGACCCAACCAACCATCTCCCAAAGATGATTAGGATGCTGAATAAAATGTAAGAGGAGTTCAGGGAAGATGGGGCTTTTTCCATAAAAAACATCATTTTTCGACCCTTATTTGACTCCCCGGGGCAAAATCAAAACTCCGAAACCTACCTGCACATCTGCATGACCCCACCAACCATCTCCTAAAATATGATTAGGCTGCTGAATAAAATGTAAGAGGAGTTCAGGGAAGATGGAGATTTTTGCTTAAAAAACGTCATTTTTCGACCCCCATTTGATCCCCCAGGGCAAAATCAAAATTCCAAAACCTTACTGCACATCTACATGACCCCACCAACCATCTCCCAAAAGCTGGTTAGGCTACTGAGTAAAATGTAGAAGGAGTTCAGGGAAGACGGGGCTTTTTGGACAAAAAACGTCATTTTTCGACCCCCATTTGACCCCCCGGGGCAAAATCGAAAATCCAAAACCTTACTGCACATCTACATGACCCCACCAACCATCTCCCAAAAGATGATTAGGCTACTGAGTAAAATGTAAGAGGAGTTCAGGGAAGACGGAGCTTTTTGCTTAAAAAACGTCATTTTTCGACCCCCATTTGACCCCCTGGGGCAAAATCAAAATTCCGAAAGCTTACTGCACATCTACATGACCCCACCAACCATCTCCCAAAAGCTGGTTAGGCTACTGAGTAAAATGTAGAAGGAGTTCAGGGAAGACGGGGCTTTTTGGACAAAAAACGTCATTTTTGACCCCCATTTGCCCCCCGGGGCAAAATTGAAATTCCAAAACCTTACTGCACATCTACATGACCCCACCAACCATCTCCCAAAAGCTGGTTAGGCTACTGAGTAAAATGTAAGAGGAGTTCAGGGAAGACGGAGCTTTTTGCTTAAAAAACGTCATTTTTCGACCCCCATTTGACCCCCTGGGGCAAAATCAAAATTCCAAAACCTTACTGCACATCTACATGACCCCACCAACCATCTCCCAAAACCTGGTTAGGCTACTGAGTAAAATGTAGAAGGAGTTCAGGGAAGACAGGGCTTTTTGGACAAAAAACGTCATTTTTCGACCCCCATTTGACCCCTCGGGGCAAAATCGAAATTCCAAAACCTTACTGCACATCTACATGACCCCACAAACCATCTCCCAAAAGATGATTAAGCTACTGTGTAAAATGTAGGAGGAGTTCAGGGAAGAAAAGTGTGACAGGCGGACGGACGGACGGACAGACATGAGTAACAACAATATACCCGAACTTTCTTTAGAAAGTGCGGGTATAAAAACCCTCATGAATCCTATTTAGTGGCGGCTGAGAAGTGGTGGGGGTGGGAGGGGGGGGGGCGGTAAGGAACCATTCAATACTCAATAATGTACCAAATTTATCATCAATTAAAAAGATGAGAGTTATGCTGGCTTTGTACTCAAGAATGCGAAATGTGTAGGAGCACCCTCTCTTTTCGAACAAAGTCTTTCTTTATACTTAAAGCGGAAATTGACCAATGCAATAAAATAAGAATGGTTGACCCCATTTTTTATGCTTCCCAGTTCATCACTTTTTATACATATAGGCCTTTACTTTTTTCTTAAGATTTATAGTTATTTCTTAAGTCCCCTTCCTATAAAAGTAAAACTTTCCCTTGCTTTCATGAAATGAACGATTTATTCAATTAAGATATTAATTCTTTAAAATACATGTACATGTAATTACAACCTAAACATAAATTAGCACTTTTCATAATTATTTGATCATGAAAGTAAGAATTCAAATTAACCTTGCTCTTAGCTAGTTAACATTGTCATTATAAATGCACGTGTGGCACTCGGTTAATATCACGAGGCGCGTGATACATTTTCCTTGTACCGTTAAATATTTATAAAAACGTAAAGTGACAATTAAAATGATAAGTAGTTATGTTTTTGTTTTTGTAGTGTCTTTATTGTATCAAAGTAACGGCGTAAAGGCACATGTATGTCAGAGACTAAAATATGTGAATATTTATATTCAGTGACAAAAATGATGGGCGGTGGGTGGGGGTGGGGAGGGTATGGGGTATTCAATCAATTAAATAAAAGAAAGTACGTTTGTTTGTTTATCGTAGGATCCTTAAATTCTATTCTTGTAAGTTACTTTCTTTAATTGGAATAAATTTTAATGATTGGAATTTTTCTTTTCAAATGATATGACGGTTTAACTTTTAATTTTTTTCTAGGAACAATATGGGAGAGGGGGACGTACCTGTATGTGTGTGTGTGTGTTGCACATGGCAAAAAATAATCTTTTTTATTTAATTGATACCAATCTGAAAAAAATATCTCGGTTCATGAAATACCCCAATAAAGGAGACATAATTTTAATAAATAAAAAAATAATACGTAAGGTGATCTCAAGACTTAATTTTTTTTTTTGGCTTTGGTTGGTAAAGGCTGCATTCTGAGAAATTTACACTATCTCAGAATTTTCTTTTAAATAATATCTATCGTTCTTTTGTTTTTAAAATGCGTAATAATCATATGCACACAGAGAAAGGGAATCTGACCTTCATCGGTGCAAATTAATAATTAAGCGTGCATTTGACGCCTGTCGTTTTGATATTAAATTGATGTAGAATGAGGATCCGTACATTTGACGTTTAACATTGTATACAAGGAATTAACGACCCTAACTCATGTCACCTTCTGTAATTTAATTCAAGACCTTTCTTAAGAATTACACCACCGTTAATTTATTCATTAATTAATTTACGTATAAATTAAATTTAATATGGTACTTAAAATCTTTGACGTTGAAATAAAACATAATGTTTTACTAGAAGGTTGGGAAAAAGTGGCCTGCTATTTCAAATCTTGCCTTGTTTTATTAGGTATTCTGTAGCTACAGTGTGATCATAGGATCCTTAGGATAAAGAGGGAAGATATGATGATCGTTCGGACTCATATGTGAAAATAGGGAAAATACATTTTCGTACAACGAATTTTGGGCAAAAAAGGTGAGTATTTTTCTATTCTTTTTTTTATTAGATGGTGATAAAATTACAAAATGAATTTTAAGATTTCCTTTTTTATATTTGACAGCAAAAGTATACAGCACAAGAAAGAGAAAAAAGGAGAAAACCCCTAATCAATGTGTCACACGCTGGACTCAAACTGACCTCGCTTCGTTTACGATACTTGGGAACAATGTTGCTGTTTTCAATTTTGGCTCTTTTTGTGTTTACAGGTAATTTTAAATAATTCTTTATTCACGGTTCTACGTTTTTTTTAATGATATTTAATAAAAAAATAATTTGACATGTTTATTTCTCATTTGGATCTATACTTTGCCAAATCCGTATTTCACGATCAAAATTCACACTTGGAATTCCAAGCAATAATAGATTAAACAATACTGGATCTTCCTGGAATATAAAGTTCTTGTTGAATAAATTGTCCAATTTCAGCAACACGTTCTGAACTTGTAGCATCGTTTGTTTGCCCAGTGTAAGGCTTGTAAAGGATCGTCTAATGTTTCCTATAATTACGGCCATTAGGGTAGAATGTTCCCCGGCGGCCACGCTTTCTATGTATATGTGTTTTTATTTAGAATAATTGTGGAACTTATGCTATAAAACCCGATTAACATTCATTGATTTAGATGTGTACTGTAATTTAAGGGGAAATAACTTGAACATGATGTAAGAATTATGAGTACGCCGACAGATACATAGTAGAATTAAAACAGTGCATCTTATATAAAAAAATAATAATATAATTCAAGTCCCATGAGTCAAAATAGCGACTTTCGCCTAATAGATAAAAATAAGTCTTTTTTACCGTCTTCCAAGGAAGACGGTATTATATAGTTGAAGTTTTTTACACTCTACGGACTATGCACTTCCTTTTTTTTTGTGATTGGAAGAAATTGCATGATGAGAAAATGTTCAGTTATTTCATTGGTTGAAATGCTGTTCAAGGCAAGGGAGACAACTTTCTGATGATCTAATTTTCGTACGACTTAACAATTTTGCAAGATTTTTAATCTTAAAAAAAAGGACAAAACAAACAACAAAATCAGCAGTAATTAATTCTAAATAACACGATTTTCTTTTATAGCAATAACTAAAAAGGTCTCTTTAATTTCTTTGTGAATAATATTTCATTTTTATTGCTTGCAGGCTTTACAATTTTTTTTTATTATTCTTTTCCCCTATCTTGTTTGAATAAGGTAACGGAATCAGCCGAGGTTTGCCGAAAGATCTCGGCCAGTCATAGTTTACGGAGATGACCGAGCAACAGCCATGGTAGGGCTAATGCCAGTAAAAGTCTAATGCAGAAACACAAAATCAAGAAATTCAAAAGAATAATAGGGCCTGAAAGGTGTAGATCATTTTACTGCTAAAAGTTTGTTGCTAAAGACGGTAAGCTTTTTTAAAAAGCTCTACTTGTTTATTGTGTAGATAAATCTTCCGGAATTTGTCGAGATGGCTTTGCGCAGGTGCAGAACTGGTGTTTTTCTTTCCACCTTCAGCCAGTAGGAATGTACGACACAACACGTGAATGTTCACGCCAGGGGGCGGGGCTAGTCAACCTGGACTCGGCAGAAAAAGAAAGGGCATTAACTCAGTTCATTGAAGGTGAGGTAATATATAGAAAGTAGGAAAACGATAACTTATTATTGGACTTTGAGGATTTATTTTGTTGCTTTCGGGGGGGGATTATGCCATTGACTTTTTGTAAGGCACCTTGAGTACAATCTACAGTAGAATGAAACCATGGGAAAAAGTCATTGATGATACATGTATATTTCTATTATAATCAATCAGATTTGTTAACGTTTTCATTCCGTCGACAGGGATGTTTTCTCAATGACGTCACCTGACCCTACCTAAGTTTTCAGAGATTCCTTTTGTGCACATGTTAAATTGAACCGTTATTCTCCAATTATCATAAAATGGTATTTAGTACTCATCATGTAGTATAATATAGTATTATGTATATTTTTTTTTCTTTTTTTTTCACAGATATGAATTTCTTCGGTCTCCAACAGGACAGAAGTGTAAGTTTTATTAAAATTATGTAAAACGTATTTACCTTATAACACGTTATTTTTTTAACTGTGTAATGATACGTTAACCTTATAATACGTTGACCTTATAATACGTTAACCGTATAATACGTTAACTTTATAATACGTTAACCTTATAATACGTTAACCTTATAATACGTTAACCGTATAATACTTTAACCTTTTAATACGTTAACCATGAATACGTTAACCTTGTACAGTGTTAACTTTATAACAAGTTAACCTTATAATACTTTAACTTTATAATACGTTTACCTTATAATGATTAATCATCTGATCAAATTTATTTACTATTTACATTTACTTTTTTAATTTGTTAATCTTATAATATATCATATTTATAATATGTTGACGTTGTAATTAGTTAACCTTTTAGTACGAAAACCTAAAATGTTTTAACACTTGAATACCTTATTACGTTAATCTTGAAATTAAACTTGAAATACATTAGTCTTACAGTACATTAACCTTATATACTACGTTATTATTATTCTTGCGGTTTCAATACATTAATCTTATAAAACATTAACACTTGAAACCTACATGTAATTTACTGCAGAAATTATCACAGAATTTCTTCCAATTTTGAATTGTCTTGATGATGAGAGATTGTTTTTAGGGTTTATTTTGGTTATCTTATTGAACTAAGTAAGTAAATCGTTTATTATAGTGACTTGTGTTGTACAGAACAATGAAAAACATCTAATACAATTAATATCAAAACACTAGGCCCATCAGACCCTATATGTCACTTTTAACAAAGTATATAAAAAATATAAACACAAATATTACGCATGGCGTTTTTTGTACAACAGAAGTTACGAAAGGTATAAATATTTTGAGGTCTGCATAGGAAAACTTGTTGAAAGAAAATTTACACTCTCTTGATTTGACATAGAAAATACAGAAATAGAAATACAGAAATCTCTAAAATTTAAAAACAAGACTCTTTTAAGAATATTTACAGATAAATTCAAACACCCTCTCTGTGTGTACGTTAGTAAACAGAACATTAATGCTAGGAATATCAACAGTATTCAAAAAGAATAGTACGTTTCCTCAATTTCTTTCAGTCTAGTTTAAGTACTAAATAATTGCATTCATTAAGTTATGTACCAAAGTTGTTTCTTGATGCTTGATAACAAATGCTTAGGTAATCACTCAGAAATTTATTCATTCTATGCTACAAAAGACGGGAATATTATTCCATGTTTCGTCAAAGATCTACAGGAAACACCTTTGATTTATTCATTTTCGTTCCTTTTATATTAATTGATAACTGCACGCTATGCAGCAAAATCCTTTTTTTATGAATAAATTTACATTTTCAACTCTTTTGATCATCATAATTATTGAAAGGCAATGTCTAAAAATATCATAATTTATCAAATGTCAGTAAAAATACAAACTCGATTTACAGATTTTTCTTAATATTACATAAATGTTTGATATTATTCAAACGAAAAAAAAGTGCCTTATCTTTGAATTTCTTGAGTGTTGCACGATAGATTTTCACGCTAGGTTTACCAAAATCATATAATAGATTTTTATTCCTGGGTTATCCCTCTTGTTTCAGGCTCTCCGGCGATCTCTAGAAGAACTGATAAACACCGACAACGATGCAGCCGCGTGTAAGTATCTACTTCCGGTCAAGAATGTCGTATTCTAGACCCGTCACACCATTTTATACTCTTCAAAAAAAGAAACGCATCGTAGAATTTTAGTGACACATTGAACATAAAGATTTTTTAGTAAAATGATGCATTGATAAAACAGAAATGTGGTAAGCAATAGGAATACTATCTAAATGTCATAATTACTCAACAATTTTAAAATTATATTTAGTTTAAGAGCATTAAAGATTAATATCTGGTATGCCCCCCGCAGACACAAATGATAGCCACAAACTGCATCTAATGGAAGCAAATGTGTGTAATAAAAACTGTATAGGAATACTCTCCCACTCCAAATGTAGTAATTTAGTCAGGTGTTGCAGAGTCTGGGGATGCGATTGTCTTTGGCAAATCATTTCAATCCATTTTGGCCAATGATGCTTAATTTGGATTAAATCTAGCGATTTAGATGACTGTGACTGAAACAGGTTGTTGTTTCTTAGCAAGAATAGGTGTGTCAAATGAGCCATATGTGGCTGTATATTGTGAGATTGCAATACGGCTCTAGGATGCTGCATAATTGAATGGGTATTTTTAGGTAGAACATGGTTAGAGTACCTTTTTCAATCAAAGTCCATTGGATTCGAACCAAATCAATCTTACTTTCTTTTAATACCATTTTCCATATCATTACACTACCACCACCAACTTTTCTAACGTCCTACAGGCAGTTATCTGTCTAACATTCATTTCAAAGCATTAGCACTCTTAAACGTATAAGATGTTTTCAGAAAAACATTCTGGACTAGTAGGTTAACCAAAATGTTCAGCAGTGATACTGTGGTCATACTCTATTCATCTGAGATCTTTGAAGTCGATATTTGGGGTGTTGTGGGGTCGGAACAATGACATGAAAAATCCTCTTGCAATAATTCGTAGTCAACTAAAAACGGTCTTGTTAGATGATCTGTTCAATTCAGGGATAACTAATGCTTTAGAATACGTCCTTGCATTACATTCATGCAATTTGCGTAATCCTCGGAAGTGATGCTGTGCCGCTGATGTAACACGTAGTCTACCATATTTTTTGCGAACATTGGGTGTTCGATGTTAATGGTTTACATTTTATAGGTTAGATATGGTTTGTGTGTAACATTAAAACCTCTTACAACTGTAGATTGCTTCCAGTCGCCAATTTTCCTTTTTGTGCCACGCAACATTCAGATGCAGCAATTTTAGGAGGCGTCATTTTTTAGATAAAACAAGATTCAAAATATCAAGAACCCCCGCTTTTGATAGCCCCTTTGTACCTGAAGGAATTGCATCGGAATTCAACAAATGAAAATTGAGATCAAAATTTTGGGGAAAATTTTGCAAAATTGGGTTTTTTTGTCTGTGAGACTTGTAGAATAACTGTAAAGTTAACAATTGCATTAAAAAATCATTCACTTTACTCGAATACATCGTATTCATACAAAAATAAAAGGTATGACAAAACTATCAAAATTTTCAGGGCATTGTTCCTACTATGCGTTTTTTTTTTTTTTGAAGAGTATATTTTATTTATCAAAGACAATCATAATAAAAAATCGTTCTTATATATATATCGTTTTTGAAAGGATTCTAATACTATGATAAAATAAAATGTTTAAAATTTTACCAACCCTGTATTTACAAACACTTAACCGATTAAAATACGCATAAATGATCTTAGTTATAATAATAAGTTTATTCAGGATACAACTTCGGGCAATACAGTCCATCAGTTCACAAAATAACAAATATGACATACAACATATAATACAGTCGACTCTCAATGAGTTTAAACTGGGGGTGAAACTATTATTCTGTTATTCTCTATGTAGAAAAAAAAAATTAATCTATCTTCTTTTTTCATAGTTGGAGAGGGGGGGGGGGGGTTAATTACCCGAATTCATTCTCAAGACGCTAAATTACACAATCAAATTGATTATGTACATGTGCGTTTCGTCATCTTATTTACAAATCAAATTGTACATGTGACACGCTCTTTCAACCAATCAAATTGTTGGATGTTTAATCATGGCCACTTCTTCGTTTCAGTTTGTGAGGACTATAAGAAATACAGAGAACAATCCAAATCCTACACCTTTATTCCTAACGCCGAGGTAAAGTCTAAATATAGAGAGGTTTTATAAAGACTGTGCCAGCTATTTAAATAAATTATCAAATTTAATAATAAAAGTATGATTGCTAAATTTGTTGGAATCAAATCAAAAGTATCCCTAAGATAGTGTCTATGGTTCTATCTAAGCTTTTTTATATATATATATATATATATATATATATATATATATATATATATATATATATATATAAACCATTTTTCGTTCTTGAATCATTTTTGTTCCAAAGCATTTTTGCTTTATATAATCAATTGACGGTTATATCTTCTTATTCCGTCACCTTCCTTACATTTGATACGTGTAAGGTTATATGTAATACATGCACAGTTATATTTTTCTGTTCCCGTTTCCAGATCCCGCTCGGTTCTCACCCGGAAGACCGGGCCAACCACACCACACCGGAAGGATTCAGTATCAAACTATCTACCATCCCTGGAGCCGGGTTCGGGGGGTTCGCAGAGAGGTTTATACCGAAACACACAATCATAGGAAGCTACGAGGGGCTCATCCACACCAACCACAAAGATGACGACCTATACTCATGGCAGGTCAGAGGTCAATCTTGTAGTTAAACTGTTTTGATTAGAAATACTCTTGATGAATATTTAAATTTGGATTCACTAAAAACAAATAACATCGATTTGCTTTTCATAACATTGCATTACTTGTCATTAAATTACACAATGTTAGATTTTTTACCTCGTGTTACATATCTTTTAATACATTACATTGATTTATTTACAGACAGAGAAGGTCGGATCGGAAGGAATGTATGTTATCGACGCCGGAAATCCGGCCAACAGTAACTGGTTAAGGTGGATAAATTGCGCGGGAAACGTGGAACAGGAAAACGTGATCGCTGTGTCGTGCGCAGGTCTCATTCTGTACATGACAACCAGAGATATCTACCCCGGAAGTGAAATGTTTGTCTGGTATGGCGACGGTTACGGGGACTTTCTCAAAATCAGTAGAGTTCACCCAGGTATTTATGTTCTGGTCCAGGGGCCATAAAACATAGAAGAGCTCACTTACTTTTGGGCTCAATCTCTCTTTTACTTTAAGGAATATATAGTGAAAAGTGAAATTGAGATCAAAAGTGAGCTTATCTAAGTTTTATGGCCCCTAGACATGGGAACAGTACGTGTACACGTTCAGTTTATTTTGAACTTACACTTGAATTACTTCTTATTTGTTATCTTTTAAAATACAAAGGGAAATAAATTCAATTCAATTTTTCTTCAGTTTAATGGGTTCTTTTTTTATTTTTTGCTACATTCCAGAGTCGGACCTACAGGGGATTTTTAACATCCGGGTCAACGTTCTCTCGTTTGATGACGAGGACCGGACGGTCTACAGCGACGGAAGTCCCGTCACTTACATGAACTGGGTCCCGGAAGCAGCGTCAGACGTCGTGGACAACACATTCGGCCTCGTTCTGACGCACAACGGAAGTGAATGGAAATGGTTTCCGGAGAAGGACTATCGATATTTTACTGGACCAGATGGTCTACATCTTCCCTTTGTGTGTGAGGATAGAACCACTTACAATGAAGACGGAGTTGTCGATCCTGATTACAAGGAACCAGAGGCGGGGGAGCCGTCTGCTAGTCACGTGGACTCAGACATTTTAGCGGAAGGCGACGTGACGCCATTAAAAAGTGAAGGTCGACTGGAACCGGAAGTAGTTTGTGATGGATCAGTGTAGAGCTTTCTTGGGTGTTTTTATTTATTTTGTGGGTTATGTTAGGTGTGAGAGAGAGAGAGAGATACAGAGAGTGAGAGAAAGAGAAGAAAGAGAGAGAGAGAGAACAGATGAACAAGAGAGGTAAAGAGAGAAAATAACGATATTGAGAGAGGAACAGAGCGAATCAACAAGAGAGAGTGTTGAGGTTGAGCGAGAGGGGGAGAGTAATAGGAATGATTATTTATTTTTGAAGTTTTTTATTTCAATTTTTCAAGCACAGATCTGTGATTCATTTTAAAGTATTAAACTGGATATTTATTTTTAAGAAACCATATAGAATATTCCTACGTTAATATATGAATATGAATATGTCTTTATAAATAAAATTTATAATATAATAACTCACACAAATGGAACTTCAATCAAATCCATTGCCTACAAATAATTTTAATGAGAATCTTAGAGATTCTTTTAAATTAAATCTTTTTAAAAAGTATTTGAATGTCGAAATAAAATTTTAAAAAATAACATTAAATGCTGTCAGATTTTGGGTTCTTTTCACCTCCGCCATGTACATTTCTCATTCACATGTTTTGGTATCTTTCTCAATGTGAACTCAAATACATGTATACGGAGATTCATATGTCGCACCTTGGTTTCAGTAAATGTGGCGGTATCAGGTCTCCGTCTTTTTGTCCATCTGTCTTTTTGTCTTTCTGTCCGTCTGTCTTTTTGCCTCCCTTTGTTTCTGTCTGTTTGTAATTATTACCTCTCTGCAAGATATCTCCAGAATCCCTTAAGCTCTTCAAAAAAAAAAATTACACAACTCCCTGTGGCCTAAGTAAAAAGTAAAAAAAAAAACCTATTGAGGTCATTAATTAATGCAAATATTCTTTTTCTTATTTCATTTCCGGGCGATGTCTCAAGAAGATTTTGAGATTGTTTGCAGTGACATTTTATACCATTTCACCATTGCTCCTCCTGATAAAATGCCCCTAACCCATCCCTCACGTACCCAACACATAAGTGCACATTCTCCTCTGCTTGCCTATCAGACGGGGTTGTTTTGGAGTATTGTTACTGATAGATAGAATGTTCTATCATTAAAATGATAAATGTCCTACGGACCATGTTTAACGATAGAATTCGTTCCGTGTTTTCACAATGTAGCAAAATAAACACGGGCGATAACTCGTACATTGTACTCAGTGCATTTACATGTACTATGAACAACCAAGAGAGCTCCGAACGTAAACATGGCGTGTATTTTGAAGCGAGAAATAACGTTGAGAACATTAGTTGATTTTTCGTCTTTATTTGGATAATACTTTAGGTTTAAATACTTACACAACCCTTAAAAGGTTTGCAATCATTAATCTGGAAGTAATTTTCAGTGCAAACTCCTTTGTATTCTTCAAAATGTTTCGGAGCGATTCTGAACTTTTTTGCTACATTGCGAGTGTAGCACGGGAGGTTTTCTAACTGTGGCGAGGGCTCGTCGCAAGAGACAGCTAAATATTTCTAACTATGTTATTGATAGTTCCGACTTCTGTAATGCAACAGGAAAGGGGCCTTCAATTGCCACGGACGTGATTTGTAGACAGAGGAGCTTTCCCTCTTGTTTCACCTGACCCCGCCTAGGAATGCTTTAGCCGTACATAATTTATTTGAATTTTTATTAGTGTTCGTAAAACACATATCTGTAATAAGCAGTGTTGATGTTTTCACATGCACTGATCTGTTAATACACTGCATTAACTACAGCTATAGTACCTCACGACAATCACGATTACCTGTTCACCTGTACTTACCTGTACTTACCTGTGTTCACCTTTGTTCAGGTGTGTTAATTACCATCGATCACGTCCGACGTAAACCAGGAACCGAGATACACAGAATCAGTACGGGGAACGTCCGTCATAGCACCAGTGGGTTAATTAGCCTTAAAATAATGAATTATTATCAATTACATTGGCTTAAATTCTTTATAAATGCAATTCAATTCACAGATTACGGGCGGAAATGAAACTTGTCTCTAATTTAATCAAACGTTCATAAGGTAATTCTTACATAATTATTAAATTGTTAGGTTGATATATTTGTTTAATTATCCTTAATTAATATTTTTCTTTTTATTGTAAACAGTTCACTGCACCTGTTCACCCGCTCGTAAAAACTATAGGCAAAAAAGCCAAGCTTAAATAAAAAAAAATCTGTGTCCCCCGCAGAAGGAAAAAGGAAGATAATCTGCTGACCCGATAGGGGGGCGAAAGGGGGGGGGGGCACTGGTTTGTTCCCGTTTTGCACACATTTGGATTACAGGTAATTTAGCCGAATAGTTTTTAGAATTTAGTCTTTCACTATAACACTGCAGATCCCGTAATGCAAATTAAGTGGACTCTACGGCGCACGCTTTTCTGTGCAAGCTTGGTGAGAAATTCTTCACTTTCCAACATTGGTCAACCAAGGACGTGCACTTTTCACCTTCATGGGAAGAGTGGGGTGAGGGCCAAGGACTAAAATATAAAACCATGATGCTACAATTCTGTTCTACAGAGACCTGCACAAGAACGGTAGAGACAATAGAAAGCTTATATTTTTTCTTATCCAACTTGTTTCTAATCCATTTGATTCTTTCAAATATAAAATATGTTCAAAAAAATATTGAGTGCCACTACAGAAAACATTCCAGTTTACATGATCAGTTTATATATTTTATTGATCTTAGTTAAAAAAAGAAGACAAAGGCATCCTCTTTACATTTATATTAATTATTTACCTAAAAGTAGAAGGGAAGAAATTGAATTAAAATACATTCTTCAATCTATTAATATGGGACAAAAATATATAGATTTAAATAAGAATGGTTTTTGGGAAAATTTTTTTTTTTTTGATTATTATACATTTTTTAATTCTACAAATCTCAGAAGATACATCGATAAATTAACATTCAGGGGCCTGAATATTATTAAACCAGCTCCATACATTGCGTTGTCCTTTTGTGACTAATGAACAAGTGATAAACCCGTCAGGGGACATCTTACACGCTTTGTTTTTGTGCATCACAGAGCATGTTAATACCATAGGGCAGAATGTCATTTTGTTTTAGCACAAAGCACCTGTCTGACTCAAAATTAAAACAAACATTAAAACCAACAACTCCGTGTCTCATTTTAAATAAACCATTAAAATTCCAGAAGTTCATGAGCACTTTGCAAGCAGTTATACAATTCACTGAATGAACATGTTTACAAGGCTGACAATTAATATTGATGAATGGACTATCAATTTAACGGAAGAGGACGGGAGAAGCCGACCAATAAGAACCGAGAAAAAACGACCAAATGATCAAATGTTGTCAAGATACGGAAACTACCGAACATTGGCGGAAATTAACGAAGAATGACAGATAAGCACCACTGTCTGCAGACGGGCGAGGAGAAGTATAGAATACATTATATGTCTTGGAATTGTTTATGGGAAATTGAATGAATCATCGGACCATAGCGGACATGGCGTCCGTGGATAATTGAGAAAGTTTAACGATCTAAGGGCAACATTGTCTACAAAGCTACAAAGTGATGCTGTAGTCGTATAGATAGAAATAATTTATTTTTTCGTAGAAGAGGCGGATGTCAAAATTTAACAGGTGAGCTTGTTTGAATAATTCTGACCTCTTTGACCATTTGAAAAAAAATATTAATAAGGGTCTAAGAATAAATATTCATCGACAGCTGTAATACAAATATTTGTGTAAATGACACGTCCGCCATTCAACAATCTGTTAATGCCTTCATCTATAGCTTTAGATATATACTGTTAAGGTTCTAATGAACCGTCAGAGATTTGTACTACGTACCCCCGGGGCTTAAGTAGACAATGATGGAAAAAAACGTTATATACGTATGTAGTACAACAGTTTATATTGATTCTATATTTTTTTTTACTTGAATATGTAACAGGCTAAGGACTGTAGTTAGGGACCCAGTGTATTTCTTTGCTTCTTTATTTATTTTATTTTTTGATATCTTTTTAATTTTTTTCAAAATTATAATTTTTTTAATACTTATTTAAAATGTAATTAAAATCATTGTTTCTGTACGGAATAATACTTGGCATTTTGGCCCGTTATTTATTTAGAATTTTTAATATTCAGTTTATTAATACAAAGTAATGGAGAAAATAATCATTCAATTATAAATGTAAATATATTCATTCGCTTTTTCTTTTTTACTTGAGTATGTAACACGTTAAGGACTATAATAAAGGACCTAAAAACAAGATCACTTTGCTACCATATATATTTTTAAATTTCTTTATATTTTTTTTCAAAATTATTATAATTTTTTATCCTTATTCAAATTGTAAATAAAAAAGTTGTTGGTGTTTGGCCTAACCGTGTTTTTGTTATTTAGAAAATCGTAGTTTTGTGTCATATTGTGTCAAATATGAACGCCCTATCATATGTCATTTAGATATTATCTAAGTTGATTTTATTACAATAAGGTTCATGTTGAAGGTCAAGGGTTCAGAAGTCATATCATGCTAGGAAAAATCTTGTCACAGGTAATGCACATGTCAAAAATGAAAGCCCTTTCTCTTCTTAATAAAAAGTAATAAGGGACAAGATATAGAGATGACGCCGTATGACAACATAGCGAAGATTAAACTTTTCTTAAATGCAAATTAGATACGATTGTGAAATATGAAAGCCCTAGCACCACCAGTTCAATAGTTAATGACAAGGATAAGTTTTTGAATGGTAGGTCAAACTCCAAGGTCAAAGGATCAAAGCTGTTTGCTTCTAAAGAAAGGCCTCGTCATATGTATTAGATACATATATATATATATATATAAAGTATGAGAGCCCTAGCACTACCCGTTCAAAAGTTATGACTAAGGTTAAAGTTTTTTTTAAAAGTAGACCAAACTCAAAGGTCAAGGTTAAAGGGTCAAAGTTCTTGATATTCAGTGAAAGGTCTTATCACAAGGATAAAATATATGAAGTGTGAGAGCCCTAGCCCTTACCCTTCAAAAGTTGTGGTCAAGGTTGTGGTCAAGGTTAGGTTTTTAAAAGTAGGTCTAACTCCAAGGTCAAGGTCAAAGTTCTTGATATCCAGTGAAATCAGGTCTTCACACAAGGATTACATATTTTCGTTTAAAAGTTATAGCGAAGGTTAAAGTTTTTCACAAATACGGAAATCTCCAAGGTCAAAGTTGACTATGTAAGTATCCATGAAAGATCTTGCCACAAAAATACATTTGTGAAGTATTAAAGTCGTAGTTTCTACCGGTTGTGGAGATAACGAACACTTTTCAAGATGAAAAGTCCATGAAACAATACAAAATAGGAGCAGAGCAAACACGGACCTCCGGAACATCAGAGGTGGGATCAGGTGCCA